GGCGCATCGCTCACGGACGAGGCTCCCGCTCGAGTTTCGCAACGCCCACGCATCGGGAGCCCCAAGGGCGACGACGGTTGCAAGTTTTCCGATGGCCGCACCAGATCGGCAACGGGAGTGCGGGACCCAAAGGGAGGGAGCTCCCGCTCAGAACTTCGCCATGGGCCCACGCGTGGCGGCACAGTTCAAAGCTTGCCGGTGGTCGCCTCGGACTGGCACCGCGGCGCGAGGGCCCCGCGTGCAGGGCGCTCCTGCTCGAGACGTCCCCGAGATTCGCTCACGGACTGGGCCCCCGCTCGAGACATCCTGACCATGACAACGCGAACGTGCGCTCATGCGTGCGTGCGTGTGTGTGCGCATTTCGATGCTCATGACGTTGCTGTGTGTGAGGTGACTATGAAGATGACGGTAGTGATGATGATGATGCTGCTGCTGATGATGATGCTGCTGATGATGATGTTGGTGATGACGATGACGATGACGATGACGATGACGATGACGATGATGATGCTGATGCTGATGATGATGATGATGATGGTGATGGTGATGGTGATGGTGATGGTGATGGTGATGGTGGTGCTAATGAGGATGACGATGATGATGATGATGATGATGATGATGATGATGATGATGATGATGATGATGATGACTGGTGGCAGTGATGGGTTGATTAGGTTCTTGGTCGTGATGACGGTGGTGTGGTGGCGATGGTGAGCGTGAAAGGAGGAGAGGGGAGGAGGGCATGATCCTTATTTCTACGCGGGGGATGTCCAGAGAAAGCCAGACACCCACTTAGGATATGGGGAACCAAATAGAAGTGGGGGAACCACAGCGGCGGCAACACCTGACTCCTCTTCGGCTCCGAGGCGCTCAGCCCTGGATGCTGGCCTGGCAGTACTTGCTGACGGCGGCACCCAACATCACAAAAGCGGGCTGTCCCTGCTGCCTCTCCGTCCTCCGCCTCCTCCTCCTCCTCCACGTCCTCCCCTCCCCCTTTCTCCGTCCCCCTCCCTCGTCGTCGCCCTCCCTTCTCCTCCTCCGCTGCGGGGTTGGGGTCCTACTGCTGGGCTGCAGGGCAGGAAGGGGGGACAGGAGGACGAGAAGGAGCCGCAATATTGACTGGCAGTGCAAGTTGCCCTGCACACATTTTGAAAGAACCCCCCGACTTGTCCAGAGAGGCAGATGTCGTGCAGGCGATGTGCGCAGACTTCCCATTCGGAAGTCAGAGTTGCCAGCTGCAACAATCAAAGCAAGGCCTTTGTTTTGCCAGCAGCAACACCTTGAAGAACAACTCCCCTTTGAGAAGTCCGCCTGCCAAGGCATGGCCGAAAGGTTGGTCCCAATCTCCACGGGCCTCCCGCCCACTCTGCGGCAGCACCGCGCCATCGCAGCGCACATGATCCCACCAGCCCTTCAGGGCGGGAGCGGTCTACAGCGAGCTCGTGCTGCTAACCCCACTCTTTCTCTTCGGCGGGCGGCGGGTCCCCCTCCGCATGCCCCCTCCCCTTGGGTCTGGAACCCTCCCCCCGCGAGGAGGGCCCCAGAGAGCCCAAGATGGCCTCAAACATCGCTCAGGACATCCCAAGATGGCCCAAGATAGCCTCCAATATGCCTGCAAGGACCCTCAATCTCGCCCCAGGACGGCCCCAAGTTTTCATCTGCTCGCCTTTTCGCTTCCGATGGGCTTCTGAGGCTTCATGGTAGCTCCGAGATGGCCCGAGAGGGCCCCGATAGAGGGCCCAGGCTGGACCCATGACGGCCCCAAGAGCGCCCAGGAACGCCTCAAGAGGCCCCCAAGAGGAAATTGTGCGGGCCAGGCAGCAGGACGGGGGGGCAGGTACTTGAGTACGTACTCCCTCTTCTTGGACCGATGGCTTCCAAGATGACCCCAAGAGGGCCCCCAAGGCCTCCATTAGGGCCCCAAGAGAGCCCCGAGTGAGCCCCAGGAGGGCTCCAAGAGAGCCCCAAGAGGGCCCAACGAAGGCTCAACGATGGCCCCAAGAGGGCCCCACGATGGTCCCAAGAAGCCTCTCATACGATGGCACCACGGCAGACAACCGCTCTACCAGGGCGGCCCCAGGCACCCATGACGCAATCTAGGCAACGCAAGCGACGACAGGCAACAACTCCGCCAGGACAACCACGAGGAGCCGTGAAGCGCACGCAACGACGCGACGCGGACGCGGTTCACTGCCGGGCCGCATGCTACACATTCCTGATCACGGCGACTCGCCTGGTGTCTGCTGGATGGGCTGGTGGGGATACGCCAAGCGTCAAGAATTTTGATACGATGAAGTCCAATGAATTCAGACTTTCATGCAGCTCGACTGCCCAGCACATGTCGTGGTGCAGGTGCTGCGTGTGGCACCCAGGTGCTGCTTGTGACACCCAGGGCAGACGAATGCACACGCGAATTATGATTGCGCACGCCGACAACGCCGGTCCTCGAGCGTCGCCTCTGCGGTAGGGGGAAGCGTGCTTACGCTTATACAAGCTCCAGTGGCGCCCTTGGGCATGTGCACCTGAGGTCAATGGTTACATGCTCGATGAAAGGAAAAGGCAGGGCGCCTGATCACGATGATTCCGTAAATCTTGCGCTGCCGTGCCCAAATATGACCGACCCGTGAGACACACGGCGCTGTTGCATTCATGTGAACGCCGCGACCGCAACTGCGCGATGGCAGTGGAAGTGTTCGAATAATGATCAGTTGTCGGGTAGGGTCTCCGTAGTTTCTCATGGGCCGACCCGGCGTTAACGCGCGCGCCCCAACCCCCTCCCAAAGTTAGCCCCGTTGGATTACTTCCTGGCGCCCGCTTCGGAATCTAAACATCTAAACGGCCAACGACAATCTCGAAAAGGATGCCATATGATGCCCGAAGACCAGCCAAAGACGGCCGATCGGCTTTCCCAACGCTCCAGGACTCCCCCAACAGGCCCCAAAGCTCTTGCGGCCTGTTGGGGCAATCCTGGAGCCTCTTAGAGGCGCAAGATACGCCAGGAGAGACCCCCGTAAGGCTCTGTAAGCAATGACACCAGAGAAAATCCAATCAGTGGATGGCTTGCAAGAAGTAGGCTAGACTACCTTGTCAGCGATAGTGATATCGATTATGAGATCGAACTAGAAAGACCTAGTAAGATCCAGTGTGATATCGATCGTGGTATTGATAGTGATGTCGGTCGTAAGATCGATGGTAATATCGATGGTGAGATCGATTGAGCGAGATGGATAGTGAGGTCGATCACGAGATCGATGGTGAACTCGATCGTGGGATCCCGACATCGGCTCAGAACTAGCAACCAGGCACCCGGGAACCCGGCACCGGCAACTCGGGAACCCAGCCGGCTACCGAATTCGACCCTGGACTTTCGCCAAATCTTTCAATATCCGCTAGGGCCCCTTCAGTGCAAGCACTGATTAGGAAAGGGCACATTGACGAATCCCACCAGCCCTCTGGACGCAGATGACACACATCTTTGTTCTTCCCTCTCCCCACACCCGTTCTTCCCTAAGTCGGGGAGAGGGTTGCCACTCTTCCCCGACCCCCTCCGCTGGGTCTGGACGCCCTCCCCCCCCGCGAGGTGATGGAGTGGCCTTTTGGGCCCCAAGAGGGCTCCAGGATGGCCCTCGGCGCCCCACGGTTGCCTCCGTGATGAGAGTCGAGTATGCCGTAGACACATACGACAAGAGCTCGTGTCACAAGACATCGTGGGGCTCACTCACCGTCGACCTTTGAGAGCACGTCTGTGGGCTCCTGGGGCCATCGGGGAAAGAACACACACTCCGCGGGCCTGCCGGCAGGTCGACCTCCTATTCGATGTACCCTCTGTAGCGGAACCGTGTTCATGATAGCCTCCGACATGCGTCCGAGTCCCCAAGGCGGCTCCAAGTGCTCTCGGAGCCCCAGAGGATCCCCGAAGAGGCCCACAGCCTCACGAAACTTACGGGGCACACGTGATTATTGCCTTCTCGCCGTTTCGCCTCCGATGGGCCTTTTACATGACCCAAGATGGCCCCAGAGAGCCCAAAGAGAAGCCCACGAGGGCCCGGCCCCAAAACGGCCCACGAGGCCCCTATGAGGCCCTCAAGAGCGCCCCATGATGCACCCAAAACATATTTGTTTTGCTTCCGAAGAGGGGGGCAAGGAATCCTCGTCGTCCTCATCCTTCTTCTTCTCCCTCCTGCTCCTTCTTCTGGTCCTCTTCCTCCTCCTGTTCCCCCTCGTTTCCTGTTCGTCCTCCTCCCCTCCTTCAACTTATTCATCAAAACAAATATCATGGGCATCGTTTCTAGATGGGCTGGCGGGGACACGCGAAGCGTCAAGAACTGATTGAAAACCTTGGTTTCTGTTTCCAGCAGTTTCCTGCTTCAGGCAGGTCCTGGAAAGCTGCCGAGGTCCCCGAGCAGCGTCCGAGACGGTCCAATACAGGCCCACGAGGGCCTCAATCTGGACCCAAGCCGGCCCGATCATCTCCTAAGACAGCTCAAGAGGGCCCCAAGACGGGCGAAAGTCTCGCGCAAACGTTCCCAACAAGATGGTCCAACCGAGCCTCCTCGCCAGAGCTCGGCTCAAAACAACTCCGTGACCCCGGATGGGCCCCATACGGGCCCCTGAGGGCCCAAAGAGGCCGGCCAGAGGCTCCGAGGACGCCCCAAGGAAGCCTCCGAGACGAAGGAAAAGGGGCAGGAAACTGCTGCGGACAAGCAGGGAACACCCACGGCCCGTGCCAATTCTTCAGACAGGACACTGTTCTAAACGGGTCTCGAGCCCAGCTTCCTGCATGCTGCGCCGCGCTGCCGCACTGACGCGGCAGCGGGGCTTGTCGCAAGCCTCCTGGGTATCCATGCGAGTCGCCGTGCGTCGCAGTGGCTCGACCAGAGAAAATGGGGCGTCGATACGCCGAGTTCCTGAGCCGACCAGACGACGTGGTGTGCGCATTGCGCACCTCCCAGCGTGCACGCGCATCGGCCGCCCGCCACCCCTCCCCCGCTCGACGCTGA